AGAAATTGATAGGGTTTTGTAATTTACAAGTGTTTAGTGAGTTTGTTGAATTCAAAATCAATTTGCAAAAATCAACTAAACTTCTAAACATCAAGACTAGTTAGAAAATGAAAGTTTTTTTTAAAAGATGCTATTTACAGTGGTACCCAAATATATCAACTATCTCTGAAAAAACTAACAAAATGTAGACCCATCGAGGCTAGATTCCTTATTTCAGAACAATCAGGAAAAGGTCTTGAATTTTCTTCCCTTCTATTTCAGCTTGATAGCTTACCTTGGAAAGAGCCCTTCCCCCCCTGCTCTCCTGAGGAATACTACCCCTCTACCTCCTATTCACAAGGCACTCAGTATAAAGTCTATACCTGCTTGCTTACACTGCCCCCAAAGAGGTCTTCCCAGGTAACAGATGAGTGCCAAGCCTTGTTAGAAGGATGTAGGTAGGAAAACTCATTGCTCTTCACTCATTAAGTCCACTTGTGGTTGTTTCTCCAGTTCCCAAACGTATAATAGGGATGGACACACTTGGCAGTTGGAGTAACCCCCATGTGGAATTCTAGCTTGTGGAGTAAGAGCTGTTACAGTGGAGGAGGCCAGGTGGAAGCCTCTAAATCATCCTTCCACACACCTTCCCTCACCCTCTCCAACCAAGGTGATATATCAAAGACAATATCACATTTTGGGAATTGATGGTGGACATTAGTGCCACTCTTAAAAATCTAAAGGATGTGGGGGTGGCTGTTTCTAACATCTCTCCTCTTAATTAGCTGACTTGGCTGCTACAGAAAATAGACGACACCTGGAAAATTACCATACACTTGCAGGCTCAACCAATCAGTAACCCCAATTGCAGCTGAAGAACTAGATGTGGTGATGTTTCAAGAGCAGATTAATAAGGCTTCATGTCATTAATCTATAGTCATTAATTTGGGGAATATGCTTGTTTTTAACCTAATCAGGAAAGAAAATCAGAAATGATTTGTATTCTTATGAAAGACAACAATATCCTTTATACTTTTGCTCTAGAGCTATGTTAACTCTCCCACTCTCTGTCATAATTTGGCCTGAAAACATCTGAACCATCTAGGCAATTTGAAAAATATCGGTTATCCATTGACATCCAGGTGACATCATCCTGATCCTGCAGGAAAGGAGGTGGCCAGAATACTGGAGGCCTCAGTGAGGCATGTTTGCTCAAGAGGGTGGGAATTAAACACTAAAAAGAATTGGGACTTATCATTTCAGTAAAGTAGATGATGGCCACTTTACAGATACACTCAATGGTGGCCTTGAAAGACAATGACACAAAAACCTTCTGAAGGTAGAACTTTGAGTGGTGCACCTGGCCATCCACTTTGTGTGGGAGGAGCAGTGAGGAGAGCACATGTATGAAATCCTGAGCCATGGTGAACAGCTTGGTGAGCTGGCCAGGAGCCTGAAAGAAGTATTAGATGGTTTGTAACAAAGGAAATATTGGGTAGAGGAACCTAAGTGGGTATATGGAATAAACACCATATGTTAAAATTTCTTTTTATTATATGTTAATGTCTACCACAGAAGAAGTACTGAACAATCAAGTAAACAAAACAACCTGGCTGGTTGACCTTATCCGGACTTTGACATTGGCCATCCCTCGACAGGCATAATGGCCACATGAGCATAATGGCCACAGTGGCAGAGATGGGGACAGTGCATTGGCCATAGCATGACCTCCCACTTACCAAGACAGATCTACCTATTGCCACCTCTGCACACCTACTGTGCTTGCAACAGAGACCAACAGTGAGTCCCTAATATGACACCATTCCTTGAGATCAGTGGGCAGCATGGTGACAAGTTGACTACCTTGGACCCTATCCATGCCGGCAGGGCCAGTGGTCTGTTTGCACAGGAATACACATCTATTTGGGGCATGGGTTTGCCTTTACTTGTCCTACTTGCACAGCCTGAGCCAACGCCAGAATCTAGATCCACAAGCATGAAACCCCACAAAACATCATCCCAAGGGGAAACCCACTTTATAGTGAAGATGTGTAGGGTGGGCCCATGACCACGAGTCAGCTGGTTGTATTACAATCACCCCATCAGGAAGCTGCCACTCTGAAAGGGCATCAGAATACCATCCTGAATGAGGGTGCAGCTGGAGCACCAGTGCAGAGATAGTACTGGGTTGGCCAAAAAGTTCATTTGGTGTTTTCCATAAGATGGCTCTAGTGGCACTTAGTTGTCTTCATGCTAAACAATTTTGTTAGATTGCATTGTGATAGCTGTCATATCAATGTCCATTTTAAAAAAACTAATCAAAATTGGTGGATATTTGTGTAGTCATTTCAATATTGAAGATGGAAGAAAATAAGAAACATTTTCATCATATTATACTTTTTATTTCAAGAAAAGTGAAAATGCAAAGGAAATGCAAAAAAGATTTGTGCAGTGTATGGAGAAGATGCTGTGAATGATCGAACGTGTCAAAAGTGGTTTGTAAAGTTTTGCACTGAAGATTTTTCCCTGGATGATACTTCACAGTTGGGTAGACCTGTTGAAGTTGAGATCAAATCCAGGTATTAACTGAGAACAATCAATGTTATACCATGCAGGAAAGAGCTGACATACTCAAAATACTCAAATCAATTAAGTTATTGGTGAAAATGAAAACATGTGTCTTTTATTTTAAGGAAAAAGCAACCCAGTACTCTGAGAGGATAGGGTGGCATCCTTCAAATGTAGTACCTGCACCCAATCAGGGACCTCTGTAAGGCACTGTGTCCCCAGTAGGATATTGATAGCAGGAATGGCCTTATTTCCAATCAATGACTCAGTGGAGAACTATGTTCTTCCTATCCCTATAATTCTGGGTCCTGCCAAGTGGGAGCCCCTGGTTTCCTAATGGGTGCACTTTTGCCAAGGGACAAAGCAAGAGTCCTGTTAAACTACAAGGTGCACCTGACATCTGATCATATTGCACTTCTCGAGTCACCACGTTCAAGGCAGGGCTTCTGCTGCAATGTGGAGAAGGCAGTAATAGATGTGGAACTCAGGTGACATGTTTTGGTGTGTCTTGGCACCCCTTGCCTAATTGTGACTGTGAAAGGACAGGGACCACAGTCCTGGCCTGAGGAGGCCTTGGTTTCCAGGGACTCACACCCCTAGGAATGAGGGTTTGAGTTACATCACTTCTAGGAGATCCAGGAGTGATAGCCGAGGGGGAGTGGAACTTCAATGGTGGAGGAGGGAGATAAGAAGTACCAGCTGTAGCACTGGGATTATTTGCAGTGCCAGGAGTTGTAGTTTGCTCCACTAAGAACCCGCCCAAGAAGAGAGACCCACTGAGGAACCACTGAGGAGCTGCTCCCCCAAATGTGTGGGGAAGTGGATCTGTGTCCCACCCCAGGTGGACGTGGCAGCCATGGGAGTGTGCTGCTCAGGTCTCTCTTCAAGAGGAAACCTGTGGTGAGGAGAGTCGACTGCTGATGGCCTCCAGCTGCAGTATCTTTGAGATCCACTGCAGTGTTTAAGCTGGGTGCGCTGTCTCTGAGAGCTCCCAGCTGGGGGTGAAGGCAGCAGAGATGGGGGGGTTGCTGGTCATGTCCTCCCAGCACAGCTCTCCATTAGGGGGACCCTCTCTGTGCTGGGCCCCCGCGTGCTGGCACAGACCCTCCCAGGGCTGCACCTCCACCTGAGATTCTTCCTACTCAATCCTCCCTTCTGGTTCTTCTCCTTTCATAGGGTCAGACCCTTACTCATAGGTGTCAGTAGAAAGCCCTCCTGACTACTCCTGTTTCCTCGTTCCTTTATCTTTGACAGGAGTCACCTCTATCGACCTCTCACACTCCTGTCTTGGTGTTAAATCCCCCTTGGGACTCTCTTGAGTCCCAGAGGACCCACATTGGCACAGCCTCCCTTTTGAGGCCACAAATGAGGCAGCTACTGGGGCATTGCACACAGGTGCATTCAGGAAGGAGCCACATATTTCTGTGTCTCTCTTATTATAAAAACCTAGTGTTTAGATAATGAAGAAGAGTGGAGTGTATTGAAGAATACAGTCTCAGCTTTCTACTATTTTGTATTCAGAAAAGAAGCCACGGGCATGGGTTTTGCTCTTCCTCTTCTGAGCATGTATCCCAGCTCCAGTTAGGGAGACAGCAAGGGGTGCGCACAGAACTTATCTTGTCATTAACTTGTTCCCTAGGGGCGAACCACAGACACCTGTATTCCCGTTCCTCTTTGCCAGCTTTGGGAACCAACTGCAGCATTATCCAGCTGAGGTCCAGAATCAGTTCTGCTTTTAGGAGTAAAAAGTATTAATATTATACTTTTGTAGCCTTCTTATCTATGATGAACTCAGAAAGAAAGCTTTTTACAATTAATTTTCTTCCCAACATCCTTCTCAGTTGTCATGAAATTGCCATAGCAAGACTACTACCTCTACTTTATGTAACAAAACCACAAAATTTAATAATTATTAGGAAGGCAATAGAGAGACAAGGGGAAGTCTATACTAAAATTCAAATTTCTCCCCATTCGGTACATTGCTTTCCAAGTTGATGTATGTTACCAGCATGTAATGGAGAGTCTCTTGAGGTTCCAGGTGTCCTCATGTCTGGTTAGAAGTGTGTGTGTGTGCGTGCGCATGACAACCTTGATGGTGAGAAAAAGAAGATGTTTGATTCAAAGTTAATTTCTTACTTGACAGGTAAGTGCCTTGCCAAGGTGACACAATCTAAGTAGACAAAGCTCAGTCTCCTGGGAACACAGAGTTTTGGCTCCTGCTGCCATCCGAGCTACCTCTGCAGAGCATATCTGGGTGTACTCCTTGTGTCCTGACCCCTAGTCCCCACAGGATCATGATTAACCCGGCCCTAGCGCCTCGCCAGAGGTCTGGGTTATTCATTCACTTTTTACATTTGCTCTATGTGATTTGTTTCCCCAAATGACTGCATTCACCACCCCAACTTTTTATATTCTTTGCAAAAGAAGGATAAACACTTTGCTAGTAAAACATGTTTGGTGTACATTATCTTTTATTTTATTATAGTCCATAAATGTATACCAAAGGAATCATTATAGAATTCATATTTTAAGGCACAAGGTCTCCTAAGTTAAGGAACCTGTTGTACTTTGCTCCCTTATTTCAGACATTAAAACATGAAAAGTAAAACTTCCAACATAATATTCAACTTAAAGCTTAAATTTAGTAGAATAAATTAAGTACATTCAGGAAGTTCAAGTCAGGAATTAACAGGCTGAGGGCTAAACTAATAATTTTGACATGGCTTAGTCATCAGTTGGTTTATTCTTACTACTCATTTATGCTTTTTTATTGACAAAGCTATATGGAATGCAAATTCTACCTTTAAGGAGTACAGAGAGCTGTTAAGAGGATACTTCCTTTCATAACTCAGGATATTTATCTTGCTTTAAAACACTAATGTCTCATGTCTTGAGCCGCTTACTGAGCAGTGAATGTTTATCTGCGCACAGTCCATTTTTCTTCTGCTTGGGATTTGCTTTCTGGTCCGGGGATCCCCCACTGAGCAATTCCAAGTGTGGTTCCTTAGGCATCTGCAAGACAGGCACACAAACTCCAGTGGGCACTCCACCTCTGACCTGCCCAGCCCCCCGGGGGTGCCGCAGAGGCAGGCAAACTCAGCATGTGGGAGAACCCACGCCAGCCCCACACAACACAGTGCTAGTGGTTCCTCCCTAATGCTGTAAGTACCTTCCATAGGCATTTGAAAAGTGATGTCAACATCTGGCAAAATCTGGCATTCCGAGCCAACATTTCAGAAATGTGTGTTAACTTTACAAACTCCAAAGTAGAATTTCCCACAGTGAACCCCTTTTATGGAAGCTCCTTTTTAATGCTTGCTCGGTTCTTAGACCTGTGATTTTGTCCTAGCCAGAGAAGCTACTCTCAAATAGCAGATAATCATTGATTTCTAGAATTGGCTTGTCCTATTAAGCAAATCATTTGCTCTCATCCCGAGTGCCAATGTTTTTCAGTGAGGAGAAGGACTTTGCTGACCACACTGGATGTGCAGGCGGGCTCAAGGCACTGATTGTTCCTTTATGCGGCAAAGTCATAAACAAATTATGCAACGAAGCCTCTCAAGCTTTTTGCCTTGCTGTGTCCCGACCCGGGGAGCTCTCTCTCACACCCTGGGCGGCTCAGGGGGAGAATGGAAAGGCCCTCTGCTGGAAGCACATCAAATGCAGAAAGTAGGCCACTGGGTGCCAGAAGGTTCCCAGGCTCCGGAGGCCATTCAAAGTTTCGACTTTAGTTCATGTCAGGATCAAACTCGTATTTTGGAGCCATGCTGCTAACACTTCTGTTGATTTTAAAGAGTGGTGTGTGAGAATCTGAGGCAGTGTCAGGTGGTCTTCAGAGGAAACAAGAAGGCATTTAGGTCACATGTAATCATCTCTCTATATGACTTGAAGGCCCTCTTTATGGGCCTGAGGGGTTTTTGATGGTTGCTACAGGAATATCCTATCAGAATCTTTGCCTTTGTGCCTTTCCAGTGGCCTGACACACAGCTTGAAATTTAATGGTGCACTCAAAACTGCAACAATAAGCCATCCCTAGCAAAGGCAGGTTTTATTCTAAAGGTCATTGTACAATTTTTTAAAATTTGCAATCTTATTTCATAAATTCCTACAGTTTTCATCTTTTCTCCTAAAAAGAAAGTAGCTGACTCTTACCTTTGTTCTGCATGGTGTATTCTCAGAGTCCGTCACACTCTCAGTTTTGGCTCCGATGGCTTCTTCTAAAACTGCATCAAAGAGGGTGCAATGGAGAAGACAGAACATAAAAATCTCAAAAAATCCTTTTGGTATCTATAGGGATACCCTTAAGAATAGAGAGCTGAATGTGTGTGTGTGTGTGTTTTTTAAAGGTGTCACTGTGCAAATTGCTGCTTTTAAGATTTTATTGCAGTGTTTCATCATTATCATTTACAAGGGGCACTTGAGCCTGTGTTAGCTGCGCCTCGCTCGCTCCATTCAAAAGAAATTCTTTGGCTCATCATTGACAGCGGCGCTTAAGCTCTGAGGTGACTTTTAAGTAATAGTTATGGACTTGCCCCAACCTTTACTTGCCCCAACCTTCCACTGCCTGGTCCTTCAAGGGACCAGAGAACAGGCAGGTGTGTGAGGAATGCTTGTCAGGTTTGGGTGTCTTTGGCAGGTACAGGTCACTTGGGTTGACTCTCAAGTTCCCAAACATTAATTATCTACTTTGTATGTTATGCTGATTCCTGGCTTCTCCGCCTTCTCTCAGCCCTAAAAGACTGAGAGCAGAGAAAGTGAATCTTGAAAATATAACTAAAGTGACAAAAATTCTAACATTTGACAGCACTTTATGTTTTTCAACATGGTTTTACACTGTTCATTTACTTTCTAATATCAATTTATACTCACAACAAAAAAATTAATTAACCTAGTTTTATAATATAGGTAAACAAAAGATAAGTTCCTATGAAAGGCTATAATTCTGAATGGACAAACAAAAGTGCTCAAAATTAAATTGTAATAGGTAAAATATACAAAATCAAATGATTCAGCATAAAATAAATAATTGTTAGCCTGAAGACTACAATTTTTATTAATAACATCTCACATAACCTCACAGCACAATGTTGAAATACTATACACTGCAGAATTTGTGGTGCATGCAGTTTTTAAAAAGTGAAAATAAATGATAAAAATAAAACTGTGTGCTATTTCAGTAAAAGCTTAGGCTTGGAGTTGTGTGAGTGCAAACAGAAAATGTTGACTTAACTAACAGTCCATAATGTAGTTATTATTTCTCAGCTCTCTTCTAGTTCTAAATACAAAATTAACATTCATTTCTGCCCTCCTTCACTTCCATCATGAATGACAAGATGCACACCGTGTATGAGCAACCCAGGGTTGGTGGTGGAGAGCAGGGGACGTGGGGCCAAGGAGGCATCTTAAAAATCTGTGGACAGACCTGTTAGAATCCCATCGAGTTGGTCCACCAAAAACTCGGCGTCTTCTTCAGTGAAACACATAGGTGGTTTTATTTTAAGTACATTTCTATGAGGTCCATCGGCGCTGAGAAGCACTTGCTTTTCTTTCATCCTAATGAGGATGCAGGAGATACGTGAGAATGCATGCAAGATAAGTAAGATTCTTTAAGAATAATGTGAACACAGAGCAGTTTTGTATTCCACACACAAGAAGCCCACATTTAAAGAATGCGTGTGTCTTAAACTTTCCTGATTTGGCGAGATGGGAGGAAGTAAAAGAAGGCTTCCTGAGGCTGGGCACCCTAGAACGCAGACACCACACAGGGAGGAAGTACATTTACTTGTAGATAATGTGCTGAGCTTCGGCTGTGGCGGGGGTCCTTCTCTGCTGGTCCTTCACTAAGTCAATTCCGATAAAAAGGCCAATTCCCCTGAGGGAGGTGAAGAAAGAAAACTTGACACACTTTACTGAACACTGCATTGTCACAGAAAATTAACACAGTCCCTAAACTTCAGCTGAATGTGAGGCTGAATGTGACCCCCTTTAAGAGTGATTGTAATTGATTCTCACTAATCCAAGATACCAATCCAAGTGTTCACAGGTCTTTTTAGTTTTTGAAACAAGTCAGTTTTTGTCATTTAGTATTTTTCCCCCCTCACTTAATTGAGTAAACAAAAGACTTAAAACAACCTCTTCAGATTATTTGGTTTCTCAGGACATTAATGATGATAAATATTACATATATGTAAAATATCAAGTTTTCTCAGATATAATTTTAAAGAATTTTTAATAAATAACTTAAAGTTATTTCAAATTCTTTCTTTTTACCTTTTTTGGTGCTAAAATTATCCCAGCTTTGTCTTTCAAAAGCTTATAAAGGAATACACTCACACGTTAACAGTAGCGATATCTGGGTTCTAGACTGAGAATGAGTTCTGTTTTTTATATTTTCGGTGTTTTCTAGATTTCGTTTTCTGCACTTTGTTTTAAATGTATCAGGTAAAATATAAACCATTTTCATTTGGAAGGGTGAGCAGCTGCATAACAATGTCATGACAAACACACCTGACATCTCCTATCAAAGGGTGCTTAGCCTTCTGCTTATTCAGTAACTCAATAAGGTAACTCCCCACTCTCATGGCATTTCCTTGAAGGTCTTCGTTTTCAATCACATCCAGGACAGCCAAACCAATAGCAGAAGATACTGGATTTCCTCCATACTTCAGAAAAAGGATAAATGAGAAAACATAATTACATTAGTAGCATTGCTTCATCTATGAGAAATTTGTGTCAAACATAAGCAAGCAATTTCAATAAAACTTTCTCTTATACATTAATTTCATAGATTAGAATATAGCATGATTCTACTTATTGAGGATTAAAAGAAAATTCATTCAAAATTATATTCTCCATGCTGCATAAGTAGTATGAAAGACCATCAGGAAATTCATTGGTTCATCCCAACAAAAAAGAGACAGTGTGTTGGGAATTAAGGTTTTCAGAGTGTGGTTGGGAGGGGGGAGGTATGGGTTTCTTTCAAATAATTTATGTCCTTAGATTTGAATCTTACTTGTAGCTAAATAACAAATGCTATTATACATACCATACAAACTATAATATTTTTCCACAGCTTAACACTTAATACTTTTGAGGGGATAAAACCAAGGAAATGAAATTTCTCAAAGATAAAAATGTAGTGTCTTTTTTGTCAGCCATACAACATTTATAGTAATGAATCATCTAAACAGAGATGTTTTGGAAATTCAAATATGATAAAAAACAAAGAAATAATATCTGTTAAAGAAACATCATAACTAGAATTTAGCAGGGAAGCCACTTATCAGTGTGATAATTAGTAAGAACAATTGAGAAACAGGAGAGACAGAGAAGGAGAAATACAAGGAGAACTGTGTCAGATAGAATGAAGCATGGTTAGATCAAAGTTTGGCTAGGATTCTGTGGTGGTTAGCTGGCAATAATGAGCTTTAGTTTTTACTATATGGGCAAGGAGTGTAAGAGCAAGCATTCTTTTCTCTTCTTAGCATTAAAGCCAGAGATCAAGATATACCGTATTGAAATACTCCATCCCAGAGCTGCTGAAGGCTTCTGCAATTTCTTTGGTTGTTACCACACATGCCACTGGGTGGCCATTGCCCATTGGTTTTCCCATCGTGACGATGTCTGGAACACAGTCTTCACCGTGCATTTGGAAGCTCCAGAAATGTTTCCCAACTCGTCCAAAACCAACCTGAACTTCATCAGCTATAAACACACCTCCTGCTTTGTGAACATATCTGAAAAACAAAAGCACAGTCTAATGCTTTCATGTCACTGAGAGTCCCCACACCCACCCACAAAAACACAGATTTTTTGAGAATTTAAGAAAAAAATGTCAAATTGAAGCCTGGAGTCTTTGTTAAAAATATTTCAGTGCTCAAAACTCTCAATGACATCTATATTGTCATTGACTTTGAAATATAGCCACATAATTTCCAGATTAGATCTATTATATACTATTTGGGTTTATGTTAAAATAAGCTCTATGACAGCAACTTAAGTGGGAAGAGAAAGAAGTGAACAAAAAGCAGTGTTTAGTGGGGTTAATCCTGAAATTTTTACTAACTGGTTAGGGTTAGGCACCAGCATATCAGGCCAGGGGCTGGGGCAGAGTCCTTGAGGGCCCCTGCTAAACCACCTGCAAGCTTCTTTGTTTGCTGGGTCTTGAGAAGGTGAAGGAATTCTGGGAGTCTTGGCGTGGCAGGCATTCTGAAGTGGCTATTTAATAGCTAGCTTGGAAGTTCTTCAATATATTTTTAAAAATATTTTATTTATTTATTTTTAGAAAGAGGGGAAGGGGAGAAGAAAGAGAGGGAGAAAAATATAAATGTGTGGTTGCCTCTCACATGCCCCCTATTGGGCACCTGGCCTGCAACCCAGGCATGTGTCCTGACTGAGAATTGAACTGGCCACCCTTTGGTTCACAGCCCATGCTCAATCCACTGAGCTATATCAGCCAGGGCAGAAGTTCATCAATATTTTCACAACCAATACGGTCCTACAGAATTGTCATGGTGCCCTCAGTTTCATCAAGGGTGCCCATGTCAAGTACATACTCTGTCACTTTCTGGAAGTAGCCTGCTGGAGGGATTATTTGTCCACCACAACTCTGCATGGATTCGGCAATAAAGGCAGCAATCTATACAAGAGAAGATGGGGTCAAAGTCCATTAAGTCCCCCTCAAACTACCTTAAGAAGGGGACTTCTTACACAGCAGTTTTTTAAAAAATGTCTAGGAATCAACCTGTGCCAAGAGGCAAACTACTGTGAGAAATGAAGAAAGGGTGCTTTCCCTTTCATTACAATTAGTTCAAATGCAGGGTTTTCATTAGGACCAACTGAATAAGACCAATGTTTTGGTCAGTCTTCATATGAAGATCTAAAAAATTACCCAGGTTCTAGTACATTACTGTGGTGCTTATTTCTCAGCCTGGTGCACTAGGATGGCCTGAGCCTGGAATGCACACAAAGTGGGAGGAGGACTTGAGGCCACACACGAGTACACCGAGTCACCGTGCTGCAGTTCTAGTGCTTGCCCTGAGCTAGGTTCACCTCAGCAGAGTTAGGCAATTCCCAACAGGAATTGCAGAGGGAGTGTTCTAGAGGATAGGAACAGTAGAAAACAGGTAACACTGAACTAAGTAAGATATGAAGTCAAGAGAACTAAGGTTCTAGTATAGCCTACCTCTTAGTAACTGTATTACCTTAAAGTCCCTTACTTTAAACTATTTCATTTATCAGCTGTAAAATGAAGTTGCTGGACACAAAAGAAATATTCTCTACAATTCTATGACTTTCTAAGCACATCTAATACACCAAAGCAACCAATTTTATATTTGCTCACTGCTTTCAGCATTGTTAACATGATAGCATCTATTTAATAACTATTGAATGCTAATGTGCTCAAAATATCATGTGAATCCCTTTCACAGCAAAAAGACCATATGATCTTGGCAATGCAAAATGTTTTTCCTGGCAGCAGTGCTCACTGTTCAGTAAAGAGGTAAAGGCTACATTTGAAGAGAAAAAATACATTAAGCTTAGGTCCACCTGCATAGGTATAATGTAGGAAGATATGAAAATCGATGGGTTGGAAAGAAAAAGAAGAAACAGAAATAAAAGTGACTTTTCAGTCATTAAAACCACATATTTCAATGGGAAAAGGCAAAAACTTCATTTGTATTGTCATTAAATTTTCTTTTTGCCATGTTGATGCCTAAACATGTTGAAAGGCAAAGCATGTGTCAAAACACATTAAAACACCATATTAGTAACCCTCAAATGGGCTGAGAGTTAACGTGAAGCTGGAGACAGTAGGGTAAAGACTCAGAAAGCAAGGTGTTTTTCCTACTCTGCAGGATTTTGCTTCTGTCTCAGAGGTCCAGGTCCAGATCGAAAGAAACTTTTTCTGACATGACTTACCCAAGTGTTGTGGCTTCAGGAAAGTTGAACCAGTTCAAGGGAAGTGCCAAGGCTCCTTTGCGGGTCCTGGAGTCTGCACTGGTCCTGATGCTTCAGGGCCACCCTGCCTCCTCCCTTCTTGGCACCATGTATTAGCCCCTTGTGCTGCTCCGCTTTGGAGTAATCTGTCCCTGGCTCATTTCCTTTCCCTAATCCTCTCTCCTCTGCCCCTTTGGACCAGAGTCTGCACCCCACTGGGAAGGTCAGAGTTAGGCCACCAGTTTTGGAATGGGTACAGTGATTGCCCTTCCAGGATAAATAAAAATAGGTAGTCTTAGAGGCATGACTATAATAACACACTTTTTGAAATATGAACCAAGTGAAAATGTAACCAGAGAAGAACAGAAAGGGAAATAAGATCTAGTTCTTTTCCATCTCTCCAATATATCACAATGATATAAAAGATGTTACAATGTTTCCAAAACTGTAAATACAAACCTTCCTTCCACTTTTATGAGCTTCATCAATAATTTTCTTCACTTCATCTGCATAAGCGCTGGCTGGGTCTGCATGGTCTTCTCTATATTTTCCTCTGTAAGTATCTGGAGTTGGTGCCTTAAACATCAAACAATAGAGTCTCTTATGATTTGCTTTTTGGAAAAATAAGCTTTTGAAATTTGGCATTTTCCCACAAAAGTATATTAGAAAGGTGATCACGTGGATTTAAGTGACTCTAGGTTCTTTCGTTCTTCTTCCATAACATTTCTGAATTCCATGAGTACCTGAAATCTTTTCATTATGAATGGGAGCTAATGTTCCTAGACCCTTGTAAGTCAAGACTGTAACCCTATATTCACATAGGGATCAAGTTCAAATTAACAAGTGTGATTATTATTATCTGAAAATGTCAATGGCTGGAAACTGTACTAACTATTCTAGATTGAAAATAAACTAACATTTACCAGTTTTATAACAAATTGTAATTATTCAGAAAACTTGAGTGCCTTACCACAGATTCCAGATTTTAAAATTTGGAAGAAGGTATTGATGATTTTCTTAAGACAGTCTACTGATCCTTTCTTAAACCAAATCAGTTTTACTGTTTCAACAACTTAATTGGCTTATTTTGTTTATTTTACTTAGTAAATCTATATAATAATTTAGCATAGAGCAATTCAAAGACAATCATACACACTTAATTCAACGTTGAATTTCAAGCTGATATCATTGGTAGAAAAAGTAATTAAAAACCAAGGGGCAAGAAAAACAAACAGCTGTGAATAATAGCGATCACTATCACTATACTAATTTGTTCACCAAAGGAGTGCTCATCGATAGATTTTGAGCCACATTAACTAGCTTTTTGACTTTAGCAAGTCACATACTGCTCTAGATCTTAGTTTCTTTTTCAGGGTTTCATTTCAATGAAAAGATTGGACTGGATTATCACCAAGCACACTTCCAGTACTAACATTCTGATTCTTGGACCCTAAAATACTTACCACATGCACAAATTCTTTCTTGACATCTGTGCCCTGTCCATATTTATATGGACTGATCTCAATTAAAGATGATAGGTGACCATGGTAAGCACTGAAAAGGAAAAAAATCAGTAAACAAAATTGCTCAAAGAAGGATTTTTTCTAGCAAATACAAAATAGCATTGCATATCATCCAAAGAAAATCTCAATATGGGTACCAGATTTAACAGTTGTGGGATCTAATTTTCCGTGACAGGACCGGCCATTTACTTTGTCCAGTTCTTATTCATGAAATAAAACACAAAGAAGTCCAAATATGTATTCTTATAAAAAATTTCTTTTTAACCAGAAAGAACTTAATTTTTTTAAGTTATATCTGCTAACTTAGATCATAAAAAATAAAAAATAGTATTTTCTATAGCTTCATGAAAAGTGTCTTTGATAGTTACATTCTAATGAATTTTAAAAATAACTTTCCATCATATAATGGGCTGTGTTTCTGTTCAGGATGGTTTCCCAAGGATACCCAGTTGCACAAATCAGGCAAATACAAATTGGTAAGGAACAGAAAGTCTCTTAAAGAACTAAGATTGGTAAGTGATTGAGTGACTATGAAGTTTCTTTCCAGTAAAATACAGGTGGCTTTCATATGCCCTTTTCTGTTTCTTCCCCAGAGATATAATTGAGAGATCTGGAAAAGAAATTGTAAAAGACCCATGAATATATAAAGCAAAGAGGAAGCACTTTTTTAAAATCATAGGTTAAACCATGCTACAGAGCCAGAGCAATACAATCAGTGTGGCGTTGGACCAAAGACATGACTGGGACAGGTGACCTCAGAGATACACCCATACCTAAATGGTAATACAGGGGACTCACAGCTGCATTCAATATAAGGAGTAATTATATAGGTAGAAGAAAATAAAGAATATCTTTGCAATCTGGGGGTTGGGGAAGAGATATTAACAAAACTTAGAAAATACAAACTATAAGATGAAAATTTCATCTACTTGATTTGATCAAAATTAAAGATTTCTGTTGAAGAATACCAATGACAAAATTAAAAGACATATAATGGAGAGGAAAAACATATTTGAAATGTCTCACACTTAAAGAGATTAATTCCCCAAATGGTGGTTTTCAATTCTGCCTGTACATTAGGATCACTTGGGAAAATGTAAAACACATTCTATTTCCTAGGATCCACTTCTAGAGATTCTCTTTCATGGGTCTGGCATGGAGCCTGGCATTAGTATTAAAAAAATATTCCTCAGGTAATTCTAAATCACAGTCCTCTGAATGTTGAAATCCTCTGATCTAGATTGTATAAACGACTGCAAACCAACAAGAAAAGGGTGGAATCCCAGTTTTAAAATTGGGCAAAGAATATGAACAGTAATTTTCAGAAGAAAAATCACAAATGTGAAACGAGTATAAGAAGAGATACTCAAACTTATAATTTGAAAATTGAAAATTAAAACAAAATTGGTATCATTTTATACCTATTAGACTGGCAAAAATTAGAAAAAATCAGACAGCAAAACGCTATTAGGTTTTGGAGAGGACATGGAAAAATGGGAAATTTCATGCACTGTGTAGTACGTGTTGTAACCATTCTGGAGGTGGATCTGGCAGTATTTAGTCAAATTAGCAATGTTTACAGTACCCCTATGGCCTAGCAATCCTGTTTCTGGGTGTTTATCCCTAAGAAATTTTCAGAAAGGTCCGTAGGGGCACATGTGCAAGGATGCTCATGGCAGCACTGTTTGTGGTAGCTGGGGGTAAAGGGTGGTCACAGCATCCATCACTAGTGGGAACCATATGCAATAGTTTCAGCTGTGCTGTTCCCTATAGCAGACACTGCCCAAGTGTAGCTATTGAGTGCTTGAAATGCAGCAAGTCGGATCTGCCAACAGCAACCAAGGCTGAACTATAAGAGAAGGGTGTCCTCAGCCCATATGAAGGGTCCACCTCCAGTACCCAGCTTGGGTGACAGAGGAGGCTGTGACACCGGATCCTATAGGACACCTACTACATTAGGCCATGCTACCAAGACACAGAGTCAAAGCAGCTCTACCCAATATATAGAAACAAACATAGGGAGGCTGCCAAGACTAGGAGACAAAGAAACATGGCCCAAATGAAACAGCAAATCAAACATCAGAAAAAAAGCTAAATGAGAGGAGGATCCAGGATGGAGGCATAGGTGGTCGCACTGTACCTCCTCGCCCAACCAAAACTAAGGACAACAAGAATTTACAAACAAAAAACAACCAGAACAGAGAGAAATGAACCGAACGGAAGTCTGAATACCATACATCCAGTCTGGTAAGAAGGGGCAGAATCGGAGGCCTACGGAGAGGGGTCGAGGGGTACCGGCAGGAAAAATCAGTGACTGGCATATGTGCAGGTGCAGACCACAGCCGATGGACTGGTGGCAGACCCTGGGCGCGGGAGGCAACCAGCAGACCCAGTGAGGCATGCAAGGCAGCTGGCTGTCTGCAGCTGCACATTCGCACACAGAACTAAGCGAAAACGGGCAGCGCGACACAGACCACGCATTCCAGGGACCCAGCGCCAGGAAACAAAGCCTGAAGGCACCAATTGAAAACACCTGTGGAAGTTGAGGCCGAGAGATTCTCTCAGCCTCACAGGAGGCTCCTTGGAAAAACCCACAGAGTCCAGGAGAGTGCACAAGCCCACCCGCCCAGGAGCCAGCACCAGAGGGGACCAATTTGCTTGTGGGAAGCGGCAAAGGGGACTGGAGTCCTGGTGAGAACAGAGCAGGCGCCATTGTTCCCTCTTGGACCCCACCCCCACATACAACGTCACAACCCAGCGAATGAGGTGCCCCGCCCTGGTGAACACCTAAGGTTCCACCCCTCATATGTAACAGGCATGACCAGACCAAAGGAAAAAAATAAAATAAAATAAAAAAGATGGCTCAAACAGAGTTGAAAGCCCCAGAGCCAATTTTTTTAAGTGACCAAGAAATAGCCAACCTATCAGATGCACAGTTCAAAGCACTGGTGATCAGGATGCTCACAGAATTGATGGACTTTGGTCATAAATTAGATGAAAAAATGCAGATTACAATAAGTGAAATGAAGAAAAATGCACACGGAACCAATAGTGATGGAAAGAAAACTGGGTTTCAAATCAATGGAAGGGACCAGAAGGAGGAAAGGAACAACCAAACAGAAAAGAATGAAGAAACAAGAATTCAAAAAAATGAGAGGCTTAGGGACCTCCAGGACACCTTTAAACATTCCAATATCTGAATTATAAGGGTACCAGAAGGGGAAGAGGAAACACAACAAATGGAAAAGTTATTTGAACAAAAAATAAAGAAGAATTTCCCCAATATGGCAAGGAAAATAGACTTCCAGGAAGTCCAGGAAGCTCAGAGAGTCCCAAAGAGGTTGGATCCAAGGAGGAACACATCAAGGCACATCATAATTACATTACCCAAGGTGAAAATGAAGGAGAGAATTCTAGAAGCAGCAAGAGATAAGGGGACAGTTGCCTACAAAGGAGTTCCCATCAGAATGTCAGCTGATTTCTTAAAAGACACCTTGCAGGCAAGAAGGGGCTGGGAAGAAGTATTCCAAGTCATGAAAGGCAAGGACCTACATCCAAGATTACTCTATCCAGCAAAGCTTTCATTTAGAATGGAAGGGGAAACAAAGTGCTTGTCAGATAAGGCCAAGTTCAAGAAGTTCATCATCACCAAGCCCTTATTATATGAAATATTAAAGGGACTCATCTAAGAAAAAGAAGATAAAAAATATGAACAGTAAAAAAGACACCAAACTCACAGTAACAAACACACCTAAACCAAAAGAAACTAAGCAAACAACTAGAACAGGAATGGAACCACAGAAATGGAGATCACATGGAGGATTAGTAACAGGGAAGTGGGAAGAGGAGAGAGGGGGAAAAGATATAGAGAGTAAGTAGCATAGACAATAGGTAGAAAATAGGGGGAGGGCAAGAATGGTGTGGGAAATGTAGAAGCGAAAGAACTTATGACACATGGACATGAACTAAAGGGGGGAAATGTGGATGGGAGGAGGTGGAGAGGGGGGAGGGGAGTGAAGGGGAGAATGGGACAACTGTAATAGCATAATCAATAAAATATATAAAAAAAGGAAATGCAGCAAGTCTGAAGTGACATGCGCTGTAAGTGTAAGACACCCATTGGATTTTAAAGACAATACAAAAAAAAAAAGAGAGAGAGAGAGAGAGCAAGAGAGAAAATGCTCAATATCTTTTATAAGGATTACATGTTGAAATGATATTTGGGACATGGTGGCTACTAGAAAACTGTAAATTCCCTATGTGGCTCAAATTATATTTCTATCTGATAGCATTGAACTAGAAGAATAGATATACACCCATCAACATAGAATCTTGACACTGTGCTGAGGGGAAAAAGTTGGAAACAGAAAGAGGTCTATAGCAATATTTTAAAAATTAAAACAGATGCACATAAAATAATGTACATTAAAAATAAAAGATATGCAAGAAACACCTTAGAATAATTGTCTATAAGTGGGAAGAATGGGAATAAAAGAGAACCAAAAAATCAACTGTGGTAGCCACCCGCCCGCAAGATGCCCACATCCTAATCCTCGAATTTAAGACTATGTTACATGGCAAAGGGGACTCTGCAGGTGTGGCTGAATTAAGTAAAGCCCCGATTCATGCAAAGCCCACGAGGCCATAACCACAACACCCAGCAGGGCTTCCCTTGTTTGCAGGAACTGGGAGGAATTAAGTGTCCTGCAGGTCTAACCTGGCCTTGATACCCTGATGCAAGTAAAAATCCCCTTGCCACATATCCCCCTCCTCCATATGTGTGTACGGCATTAGTATGGAGAGAGTCAAGATGATTTTGTCTCTGAAGGAGTGTCTTGCTTAGAGATCTTGTGTCCACAACTTACTGGTCAAGCGTGATCACATCTTGGTGGCCCCGGAACTGCCGAGCCAGGCGTAAGGCTAAGTCATTGGCTTCAGATCTACAAGAGAACATGGAGGGAACAATGTAACATAAGTTCTTTTAAAAATATTTCAAAATTTTCATTAAAAAGAAGATTCTAACTACAGATTCTATCTGAGGGGCATATGTTGCTAGACTTCCAATGGATGTGTAAAACGATGGATATCCATTTTTTCCTGGACATACATACCTGTGATAGTTTAATTTATAAATTAGGCACAGTAAGAGATTAACAACAATTACTAACAGTCAAATAGAACAATTATAAACAATACACTGTAATGAAAGTTATGTGAATGTGATCTCTCTCAAATTATTGTACTGCACCATACCCACCTTTTCACCCAAAGGAAGCACTTTCAGCCCCCCTTTGACAGAGCAGAACTGTCCTCACCACTGCTCTCTGTGCTTCGGGGCAACAAGTCAGTAAAGTCAGTGTTACTTGAACACAAGCACTGCGACACCCTGGGCAATCCGCCAGTCAGTCTGATCACTGAGAGGGCTACTAAGTGACTAATGGTGGGGAGCATATACAGTGTGGATACTCTGGGCAAAGGCTTGATTCACGCACGCCCCAGGGGGGACAGAGCCAGATGGTGCAAGATTTCCTCTTGCTACTCAGAATGGTCCATAATTTAAAAAGTATAAATTGTTTATTTCTGGAATTTTCTGATTGCAATTGGTCATGGGTAACCAGAATGGCAGAAAGAGAAATCTAAAATAAAGTGGGGGGGCACCATATTCAGAAATGTATTAAGAAGTACGTTGACCAAAGTGTCACAGGTTCAATTTCCAGTCAGGCCACATGGCCCCCAGCAACCGCACATTGATGTTTCTCTCTCTCTCTCTCTCTCCCTTCCCTTTCTAAAAATAAATGAATAAAATCTTAAAAAAGGAAAAAAGAAGTAAGTTGAACTCCTCTCTTTCACCTTCAATCTTGCTGACCCAACGATCTCACTTCATCTTTCTAATACAAGTTCCCCAGATGTCTTCAGTACAGAGCAATACAGAAAGAAATATGGCACTTGAACAGACAGAACCTTAGGACAATCTGGCCTCATGGAGGCTGGGACCAGGTCCTAAGCTACTCTGGAGGCCTCAGAGCAGCAGTGTGAATACTCACTCTTAGCCTCTCTTTTCATTCTTTCAGATTCAACTTTTAGTACCTGCTGAGGCATGTATTTTCAAAACATACATTTTATCTTCACCCGAGGACATTTTTTCCTTCATTGGTTTTAGAGAGGGGTTGGGGAAGAGAAAGAGAGAGAGAGATAGAGAGAGAGAAACATTGATGTGGGAGAGAAACATCAATTGGCTGCCTTCTCCAATGTTCTCTGACTGGGGAGCAAATCTGCAACTTACCTGGGTATGTGCCCCAACTGGGAATCGAACCCACAACCTTTCCATCTATGGAACAACACTCCAACCAACTGAGCCACACTGGCCAGGGCTCAAAAATTACTTTTTAAATGTCTACAGAATATTCCATAAAATGGATATATAATAATTTGAATTTATAAAATTTAAAAGTTGCAATATTATCTATTCAGTTTATTCCTTCCTTCTTTGTCTTTGTGTGATGAAAATAAGTTCAAAAACAATAAAAAATCCTACACAAGTTATAGCTTGTTTAGTAGTTCTTTTTGCTTGCTAAATCTCATTCAAGGTTATGGATACTTTAGCTACTTACTTTACTGCTGGAAGAGGTTAGTGTCATTTGATTAGTTAGGTTTTCTCACAGGAACACAAGACTTCAATAGCCTTTTGGGATACTTAAGGGGATGGCTTCCTCATCTTTCGCCAGGGAAACCATGGTAATAAAAAGTTGAGTGGCTGTGCTCAAAAGCCTTGGAACATGCTGTCTGGTGTCCTGTCTACAGCAGGCTAATGGACTAAAGCACAGGAACCAGACTGGTCAGGTCCCCGGTGTATAGTCACCTAGTAAATGGCAAGAATGTCAGGAAACCTTTTTAGACATCTACGCTCCACCACAAATCAAAACTAAAAGGTATGTATGAGAGACTTAACAAAGAAATTGCTGGGAAAAAGAAGAGTGGGAAACTTAGAAACGTACCCTGAATTTGTAAAGTAACAAACAGAGAGTTTCTCTGGCAAGGTCGCAGAAAGGCGCTTGGCATATTCCACGATGTTGTCATGAAGGAATCGAGAATTTGTATTTAGCACTTCCATCTGCTTCAGGGCCGCTCTGACCACTTCTGGGTGACAGTGTCCCACTAAAATTTAGGAGACAAAAGCCACAGAAATAAATTACAATACTAAATGCCTGGCAAATGAGGGGGATTCTAAAGCAAGAAAACTAAAGTTGATCTCCTTTCTGTCCCACATTTTGCTGCAATTTTTCTCCTCTAGAACTACCGGTCTTGTTCAGCAAAGGAGCTGCAGCCTCTACAATTCCTGCACAAATGTGAATGGTGCTAAAGCTGCCTTACTCCATAAAGGTACATCCCTGTGCCTTAATCCCACAAGGCACAATAACACTGGACAGTTACCATGGGCGACGTTGTTGATGCAGTCCAAATACTGTTCACCTTTTTCATCAAACAGGTACTGTCGCTGGGCGCGCACTATTTTAAGGGGATCTGCAGCAAAGAAGACTTTGCAGGAGGGCCTAGAAATAAAGAAAGGAAACACTCTGGTCTACTAGGGATGTTCAGTGTTTTTCCTTCTCGGTGGAGGTCGCTGTAAGTGGGAAGTCACAATTATATAAAGGAAAAGGAAAACACCACCTGGGTGACACATTTGAAAAAAAATTCCTATCAGCCTGGAAACTTTCATCTTAACCTCCCATTTGTGACACTGCTCACATTTCTTATTTTTGTTATATTAAATTTGCTGTGATTTGACACTATGTAGAAGCACATGGATCAACTCTGACAGATCTAATTACATGAACCACTAACTAATTTTCCTTTGGGAAATTTCATTCACCAGGAAAGAAAAGCAAACTATTTTTTTTTGAGGTTTACTATGTGTCAGGAACTGACAGATATTACAAATATTATCTCACTTAATTTTCCCAACTCTCCCAACAATCATATGAAATAGGAGTTATCATCATTATTATTTTTATAGGTGAGGAACTGGGGCACAGAAAAAATTAAGGAACTTGTTCAGGTTGTACAGCCAGTAAGAAATCCAGAATTTTAAACTAGACTGCCTTATGCCATAGCCCAAGATAATGCTTACTTGCTTTCTCTCTTTCTCCTTCTAATTTATAAGGAATCAAATAGCAATAAAGGCTAAATACAAATAACTTAGTGTTAAATATGATGAAGGAGATTTTATGGGAGATCATTTCCATGTCTTTGAGTGGTGCTTGCTCTGTATCCAGTGGATTTTCATTCTTTTTAAAAAATATATATTTTATTGATTATGCTATTATAGCTCTCCAATTTTTCCCTTTTGCCTCCCTCCACCCAGTACCCCTATTTCCTCCAGCAATTCCCCCCCTTAGTTTATATCCATGGGTCATGCATATAAGTTCTTTGGCTACTCCATTTCCTATACTATTCTTAACATCCCTTGTCTATTTTGTATCTACCAATTTTTGCTTCTTAATCCCTGCGCCTTACTCCCCATTTTCCCCCTTCCCACTCCCAACTGATGACCCTCCAAAAGATATCCATAGCTATGATTCTATTACTGTTCTGCTTCATTGCTTAGTTTCTTATTTGGGTTCATTATTGATAGTTGTGAATTTATTGCCATTTTAATGTTCATCATTTTGATCTTCTTTTTCTTGTATAATCCCCTTCAGCATTTCATATACTAATGTCTTGGTGATGATGAACTCCTTTAGTTTTACCTTTTCTGGGAAGCACTTTATCTGCCCTTCCATTCTAAATGATAGCTTTGTTGGATAGAGTAATCTAGGTTGTAGGTCCTTGTTTTTCATCACTTTGAATACTTCTTGTCAGCCCCTTCTAGCCTGTAAAGTTTCTTTTGAGAAATCAGCTGATTTAGATTTTGGTACATTTAAAGATGTCCTAGAAGTTCTTAAGCCTATTCTCATTTTTTAAAGTTCTTTTTTCTTCCTGCTGTTCTGATTTAATGCTTTTTTCTTCCGTATGTTCCAAATCATTGATTTGATTCTGAGGTTCATCCCCTCCACTGTTGGTTCCCTGAAGATTTTTTTTATTTCACATAATGCAACCTTCATTTCTGCCTGGGTCTTTTTTATGCTGTTGAAGTACCCAATGAGTTCCCAGAGCATCATGATAACCAGTATTTTGAACTGTGCATCTGATAGGTTGCTTATCTCCATTTCACTTAGTTCTTTTTCTGGAGTTTTGTTCTTTTCTTTCAGTTGGGCCATATTTCTTTGTCTCCTCATTTTGGCAGCCTCCCTATGTTCGTTTCTGTGTATTAGGTAGAGCTGCTGTGACTCCCTGCCTTGGCACACGTTATGTTGTATGGGGTGGAGCATAGGTAATCGCCAAGGCGGGACAACCCCTGCCACAGCTCTGTTACTCCATGTGGGGGAGGGCTCACAGAGGAGATAATGCCACTCCCTGGCCTCTGGAGTTTGCCCGGGAGGAAGCTATCTCCTCATTAACACTTTACTTTCTCCCCACATGCCACTGATACCCTTCCAACTATTGCCTGGTGGCAAATCCCAGAGAGGGTGGGCCTGTGTGAGTCTTAAGTCTGTTGTGGGCCCTTTAAGATGATACAGTTTCCTCTGCTGCCCCAACCCCCACTGGTTTTTACAGCCAGAAGTTATTCCACTTAGCTTTCTGATGCTGGGACCCTGGCCAGGGTGGTCTGGACTGGGGCTGGGATCGCTCTCCCCCAAGGTACCCTTCCCATTTTTTATCTGCCACACGTGGGTGTGGAACCACCTATTCCCAGCTCTGCCCCTCCTATCCATCTGGATAAATGTGGATTCTTTAAATCCTTGCTTGTCAGACTTCCACACAGCTCGATTTTCTGACAATTCTGGGTGAAATTTATTTTGTAATCTAGTTGTTTTTTTTTGCTATAGTTGTGTGTGGAGACAAGGCATGTTTACCTACACCTCTATCTCGACCTGAAGTCCTGGATTTTTCCAGTCTTTAATAAAATCCAATCATTCTTCTAACCCTTTAATCCGCTCTTTTGAACATAATAAAGTTGCCTATATTTTTGATTATTTAAATGAATGTCTGGAGTACAAATATTAGCAACATAGAAACAAAATCAGATTTCTGATCTTGGCTCTATGGACATTTAGAACTAAAACTGAATATATTATTTTTATTTTAGTGATTTTGTGTACACAAAAAAATGCCACAAGCATTAGAGGAAGTTTAGAGGATCAATTAGATACTTACATATTAAATTGATACACAACTGTTTAGAAAGTATTTTGATTATTGTGACTAGGTAATCTGAAATTTAAAGGTGCCTAAGATTAATCATCATCAGTGAAGGTGAAACTAATATTTAATATGACTTTCTTCCTGGTTCATACTCAGCTGTTAGTTTATACCTAAGAGTTAAAATTCAAAGAAACCTTTGTTATGGATGTGTGCTGAAAACTGCAGACTTCACCTTGCCTTGTCATAATGTACTTTCCACCTTGCCCCTCAGACTTTGGGTAAAATTCTTTTTCCAGTCAGTCAATGGCTACCTTTCTCCCTTCACAGAATTTGTTCTGCTCACGTCAGAAATCATTAGGTTTTCACTGGAACCTAACTATGTAGGATTGAAAACTAACAGAAAGGAGTGGTGATAAGAAAAAGGGAAAGGAAGGGGAAATAGGTAATGAGGAATCTATTTTAACCATACAGCAGGGCTGAGAAAGCTTGCTCCAACTTCCTAAATGTTAAGAAACCTCTCCGGGTTGCTTTCTGGAGCCTCAGGGTGTCAAGCTGCCCAGCACTTCTCCAAAGGGGATCCTGATTCTTTTCTTTCTTGTGTCCCCCAGGCCTCTCTCATGTGCACTCTGTAGCGCTTGCTAATTACATATAAATACTGCAGACCCTTGATTTTATAGGGACAAGGGGTCCAGAATGGCCACAATCATCATTCATTTTTACTTAAAAAAGTCACATTAATCTCATTTGCTCCTTCCTGTGAAGCAGAGTTCTTATTCCTACTTTAACAGAAAAGGCAATTAATTTGACAGAGGTCACACAGGTAACATGACACCCTACTAGGATTAGGGCCCAGGTCTGACCAAGTTCAGTCCTTGTGCTCACCAGTATATTACCATGTCCTTTACAGCACGGACAAAAACGTAGACTGGAGAGAACACTGCACTTTAAACTTTAAGTAAGGGGCATGGCTTGGGAGACACAAATGTGGGTAAGTATCATCGTCTTAACCCTTAGGACAGTGGTTTCAATGTTTTTTCTACTGGCTAGTTTAACCCTTTACCTCTGAACCAAGCATGCAATAAGTTCACTTTAAATAAAAGATGTAAGAATTTGTTTTTATAACCATCACTAAACATATTTCTGAGTTCCTAGTTTTGAAACCCTTTCGAGTTGGTGGGAGTTGCGGAGAGGTACCCTTCCTTCTCTTAGCGCCCATCTCTGGAATAAATGTTTGCTGGGGCCTTTAACCCTCACGGGTCAACTTTCCCAAAGGACCCGCAGCCTCACTCCTGCAGAAACTAGAACCCAAACTGCACTGGAGCGGGCTGAAAGTTTCCCCAGCTGCAAGGGACGCGCGTGCGCAGTTGCGGTGGGCCGCTCTGCAGGAGGGGGTGTGCGGGTTGAGGGCGGCGTGCGAGCGCAGGTGCTGCGGGCAGCGGGGGCACTCAGTTGGCAGCCTCCTTGCGAAAGTTTGGCGCGCCGTTCCTGCCTCGGCCGCTGCCTGCGGTGCTTCAGCTCTCAGTGCCCTGCGCTCGTTATTTCTCCCTCTCTGCACTGTTTCTCCGGGCTGGGGAGGCCTTACCCGATGTGCTTCCTCCTCAACGCCAGAGTGTCCTGCTTGCTGTACAGCTCGCACATGGTGGTGGGGTGCCCGGACGCTCCCAGGGGTCCCGGTCTCCCGTCTGCACGCTTCCTAGCGGACTGCCTTAGTGGCAGGCCTTGAGTCCTTTTGCCGAGCGTTGGGTCCCCTTCCTCTGCTCTTGGGAGGTAAACAGTGGCATCAACTAGCTAGGGTCATCTCCCTTTTAAGTCTTGCCCTGCCTTTACCCTTCCCCAAGCCCCACCCTCCTCCGGCTGGTGCTCGCTTGGCAAGTCACTAGACTTGCCACTCATTCGCCACCCCCCTCCCCCTCCGCTCCCGCTCCCGGCTAACTGGCTCCTGTTCCTACCCAGCTGATGCTCACTCCCCCCACCCCCATCCCTGTTACTTCTTCTGACTTGCCTTTTATTTTCCTAACTTTGCTTTCACCTTTCTTCCTCCTTTGCCTGGGAATTCCCTCCTTCCACCTTTCTTTCTTTCTTTGTGTGTGTGTGTGTGTGTGTGTGTGTGTGTGTGTGTGTGTATCTGATTATTTTCTTGTAAACATGCAAAGATAGGCCCTCTTGGGAGATAACAAGGCTTAACAGTTGTCTCCATTCTCACACTGAGAGTATTCCATTATCATAATCCACGAAAAGTAACAAACCAGATGCGCTAAGGATAAATGAGGACTCATCCTGGTATTAGTTGGGAGTGATAATGTATAGTGTTTCAAACATCATTATCCAATAACTATACTTCTACTTTCTCTAGTACTATACAGATTACAAAACATTCATGTTATTTGTCTGGTTCAGTTGGAGAAACAACCCTGAGAAACAAGCATGACAGTTAGCATCTCGTTTTAGTTCCCTATTCCATGATTACCATCTATCTGGAAGTGAAGTTGGAATTCATTCCTAGGTTTCTTGACATCGTATAGGATGATCTTTGCACACTGATCAAGTTTGAAGTTAAATATGTGTACAGAAGAAACCCTAATTAACCATAACATTAAATCACAAACTATTTTTAGAACTAGAAATAATCTGATTTAACCCCTTTGTTCTGTAGATAAGAGCAGGCAAAGGTATAATCTTATTCAAGATCACACAGCTACTTAGCCATAGAATTTAGGTCATTTCATTCTTTCTGTTTTTTGAATGGCTGCAGAGGAAGCCTAATTTACCTATAACAACACACTCGATAGACATTTGTAAATGGCCATTTAATTTATTTATTTATTTATTTATTTATATTTTTCAATTACAGTTTACATTCATTGTTATTTTGTATTAGTTCATGTATGCAGCATAGTGATTCAACAATCAGATACTTTACTAAGTGTCCCCCCCACCCAGCTATTTCTAGTACCCACCCAACACCCTGCATAGCTATCACAGTATTATTGGCTGTATTCCCTATGCTGTACTTTACATCCTTATGACTACTTTCTAACTACCATTTTGTTCTTAATCCTTTCACCTTTTTCATCCATTCCCTGCAGCCCCTCTCTCATCTGGCAACCACCAGTTTGTTCTGTGTGTATAAGTCTGTTTCAATTTTGTTTGTTTATCTTGTTCTTTAGATTTCACACGTAAATGAAACCATATGCTATTTGACTTTGACTGACTTGTTTCACTTACCATAATACCCTCCAGGTCCATCTGTGCTGTTGCAAATGGTAAGACTTCATTCTTTTTTATGGCAAGGTAATATTCCATTATATTGGAATATTACTTTTTTATGTGCTACAACTTTATTTATCCACTCAGATGATCTTTTTCTTTTTTTAAGACTTTATTTATTTATTTTTAGAGAGGGAAGGGAAGGAGAAAGAGAGAGAGAGAGAGAGAAACATCAATGTGCGGTTGCTGGGGGCCATGGCCTGCAACCCAGGCATGTGCCCTGACTGGGAATCGAACCTGTGACACTTTGATTCGCAGCCCGCGCTCAATCCACTGAGCTATGCCAGCCAGGCTGATGATCTTTTTCTCGAATGAAGTTGTTAGGTCACATTAACCCACCACAGGAGTAGTAGAGTTGCATTGTCTAAGGTTGAGAAATGGAAGTCCTAGGAGGAGCAGCACACTAAAGATTGTAGGTGTTATAAATGAAGGGTTCTGTGCCTAAAAGATGTTGTCAAATGTATATCTGCTTTCAAACCACCTAGACCTGGTGAAGTCACAGATATTCATGCTCCCTCCATAAACCTCCAACAGTCCTTTGTTATTCCCTGTGCTTTATAATATGTTCTTTATATAGTGCTGGACTATGAGTCTTGGGTTCTAGATCTGGTTCTTCAGAAACTATCTTTTTGACCTTCGGAAGTCAAATTTCTTTGTTTTTAAAAACATACACACAGACACAAATGAAGAGTCTCTCTCTGACTCAAAGCATTACCAGTAAGGTTTAAAAGAGATTGTGGAATGTGTTAGGATTATTTTGATCTCAATGCTTCTGCCTTCTCGGTCTTTTTATTTTACATTTTGTTCAACTGATCTCTCAGCAGAGGTGAACACTCCTTTTTGCTTGAAACATTTTGTCTTGATATTTTGACAGCACCACACTTTTCCTGATTTTCCTCTTCTCTCACTAAACACATAAATGTTGGTATCTCTGAAAATAGAAATCTGACCCTTTCATTTCTCTGTACTCTTTCCCAAGGTGATTCACCATGATTTTCTTGGATTTAGAACCCATCACGGTGCCAAATTTACATCTCCACCCAGGTTTTTCTTCTCAGTCCCAGCCAGACTCTCCCACCCACTTTCTTTCTTGACATCTCCATGTAGAGACCTCAGAAACATGCCAGACTGACTGAGACCAAATGGAAGCTTTGATCCGAACCCCCATAACTATCACCTCCAATAAGCCTTCCATCATCAAACATTTATTCACTCACTGGAAACTGAGGGCTCACTGAATGTTTCAATTGCTAGGGAAAAACAGTGAGCTAGACTGAACAGACCTGCCTTTGGGGGTTCACACTCCAGATCTGCACCACTGTCCAGTACATAGCCACTAGCCATGGGCGATTATTAAGGACTTGAAATGTGGCTAGTCTGAATTGAGATATGCCATGAGAGTAAAATATACACTGTATATTGAAGACTTAGTACCAAAAAATGTTTAAGAATTCTCATTGTTATATTGATAATTTGTCAAAATATTTTTTATCTTCACCTGAAGATATGTTTTTATTGATTTTAGAGAGACAGAGGAAGAGAAGGAGAGAGAGGAGAGAGAGAGACAGAGAGAGAGAGAGAGAGAGAGAGAGAGAGAGATTGAGAGAGAGGTTGATGGGACAGAGACACATCAATTGGTTGCCTCCTGTATGTGACCCAACTGGCGATTGAACCCACAACCTTTTGTTGTACAGGATGATGCTCTAACCAACTGAGTTATCTGGCCAGGGCCAAAAGAATATTTTGGATATTTTGGATTAAGTAAAATATATCATTAAAATTAATTTTACCTCTTTTTAAATGAGGCTACTAGCAAATTTAAAATTTATATATGCGATTTGCATTAGTTTTCTGTTGAACAGCATTATTGTTGATGGACAGAATAAAAAAGTAAACAGACAAGATAATGGCTTGAGTTGCTTTAGCTGTGGTAAGAGCCTTGAAGAAAATAAACTAAGGGAAATAATCCTGTCAGAAACCTGAGAGTCCTGGGTAATTCCTATCTTTTCCTCAACTCCTTCCCCATGTCAGACTGTTTATAAGCCCAGTGCACCCCACTTCAAAACACATCTTAATTCCATCTACTGCTACCCTATCCACTACCACCCCATAGAAACCTTCTGAAGGCAGAAACCTTCTGCCCCTCACCTGAGGGGCACACACTATAAATCATTTCCTTGCTTCCCCTTTCTGCTGTATGCAGCCTGATCAAGTTCTTCCCATCCATAAAACCCATCAGTGGCCTCCAGTTTTCTTCTCCAGGTCATTTTGGGCCCCTGCCCACCAACCCAGCCTGCACACCATGGCACCGCCCTCCCTCATCCTGAGTCACTTCAAGGACTTCAAACTTGCTTCAGTTTCAGTTTAATGCCCCAGTCAGCCTCAGAGAGGTCATTCTTGACTACTCCATCTTAATAGTTCTCAATTAATTAAAAAAATATTTCTACCCTGTTCCTCTGTCTTAATTCTGCCATTGTTTGGTCTTTATCTGTCCTGTTCATCAATGTACCCAGCACTTGGTGTGTGGTAGACTGATAGATATTTGCTGACTGACTGGCTGGCTGACTGAAAGGGGAAGCACATTAAGACTTAATGACCTTGGGTTTTTATTTGCCAAATAAAATATGTTTTATTTATTTTTAATAAGGACTATTATTTTACTTATTTATTTTTATTATATTTTCCCCATTACTATTTAGTCTCTATATCCACCCCTCTCCCTCAATAATACCTTGTTTTGAAGATAAAAGTTCTTATGAACCATATTGCTCTTGAAACTGTTCTCTCTACTTGTGTGGTGACTGCCAACTTACATTTTCATTATTGTTTTTGGAGAGATACTTGATTCATTATCTAATATACAGGAAAGCATTTTACTCTTGCATGAAAGAGCATTTCCCCATTGTTTAGCTGATTTCACAGTGCAGAATATACAATTTTAACTAAGGATCAAGGACTGTCTTTAAATAAAGAACAGACACACAATAGCACCAAAATAAAGATGGGTAAGAATCATCAACAGGTCGTCCTACAAAATGCTTTGTCAAAACCAGAACCTGAGGTACATTTTCTTATGAACCTCTCCCTCAGATGACGGTAGGAATGGGCACTGCAGTTCCCTTTCTCCCCAGAAGCTGACGGTTGCTCAGTTTTGCTTCTGACGCTATTGATTGGCTCACTTTGTCGAGTTTGCTCAGGCCTGAAGGTCACAGATTTCTCAATTATCTGGGCTTGGCCAAACAAACCTTACTTGTGCATGACTGAAATGAAATGGCATGGCCTGCGTGAGCTTGGGACAATAAGTATTTCACTCAATAGTCAGATGAGAAGAGCCTGAGTGGCAGTTTTTGATTTTCTGGTCAGTGAGGAAGGTGCAGAGGTGAGTGAACTGTATGTTCCAATGACACAGATTCCCCAGGTGACAATTGTGCAGTCCAGGATGAGTAACCCACAAGGTGCCCTATGGCAGGCAGATTGTGTTATACTGAAGGCAACTTTAGCTGCAGGCTCAGGAGAAATTTCTGTCCCTGACCTTCAACTGACTA